CCCTCCTCCTCAGAGTTTTGTGTATCACAGGGGACAGCAGTTCTGGAGAGAACAGAGTGGCATCACTTTATCACTTACTACATACCAGGTACTGTGCCAGGTGTTAAGCACATCAATGCCCCCAAGAATCCTCATCTGACTCTGTTTAATCAGATGGATACCAAGAGGTGGGGATGCACAGATGTGTGCAGGAGCACAGAGGACAGCCCAACCACATCTGACTGTGTAGCAGCATCTCAGAGGTGACATTTGAGCCAGGTCTGAAGAATGAGCATTTGCCAGGTAGAAGGGCTTCAGGGAGGACAATAAACATGTGGGAAGGAGGATTCCATGTTTAAGGATGTGGGCTACTCCCCAGGCTGAAGTGCCGATGGGATACAGGAGCTGCCAGGCAAGCAAGCAGATGTGCAGTTGGAGGTGCAGAGATGGGCACCCAATTATGATGACTCTGCTCTGCCAAAACCAGGAACATGGGCTTGATCTTACAAGTAACAGCACAACTGCAGAGATTTTCTTGAAGACAGGTGACATAATCAGTTTCGGTTTTTAAGAAGATAATGCTACTTAAGAGGCCATTCACACAGTGCAGGCAAGAGTGGAGTGCCTGAATTAAGGCAGGGGCAGAGGGAATGAAGGGACTGGACTTGGGAGATATTTCTGAGGTAGAGTCCATTAACAAGGTTTGAAAATCAATGGAGAAGATGGCGGCGGAATAGGCAGACGCTTCCCAAGGCTTGTCCCAGAGCAAATAGAATGAGCAGCTGAAACTAAGAACACCCACCCCGAACTGACGAAGTATACTCAGCTGGTGAGACAGTTTGCAGCCAGGAAGGGCAGAGTTCCCCTGGAAAGGTAAAAACCAGGGATCTGGGCAGGAAAGTTTGCCAGACCTCCGAGCCCAGAGGGTCACAGGGAGACCGGGGGCACACAGCTGCGTCTCTTGGGACAGGCACAGCCCCTGACTGTGGAAAGGAGATCCAACTACAGTGGGAAGGCCAGGGAGGGTTGGGGGGAATGACGGGGGTGGTGGTAAGAGATAAACCAAAGGACTTGTATGCATGCATATAAGCATAACCAATGGACATAAGACACTGGGGGGTAGGGGAGGACAGGGGATAGTGAAGGGTGGGGAATAAAAGGAGACATGTAATACTCTTTGTAATACGTTAAGCAATAAAACAATAAAAAATAAAAATAAATGAATATCAAAAAAATAAATAAAAATAAAACAGTGGCTGACATGCAGAAAAAAAAAGAAAATCAATGGAGTATGAAGTGTGAAAGAATGGGATAAAGTGTATCTCTACGGTTTCCTGCTTAGAAGATGGATGATAGTAGATGGTGATATTATGAACCAGGAAATGACAGGAGAAGGCCCATAAAGGAGGTGGCTGGAAAAGAAATGAGCTTAATTGTTGGACATGCTAAGGTTGAAGAACCTTCAGGAAATCTGGTCAGAGAGATTGGAAGGCAATCAAACAGAAGGAGTCAGGCAGCAGGGCCACAACAGGCTAACTGGGAGTCATGCTTAAGTCATGACGTAAATGTCATAGACAGGAAAAGCGAGAAGAGAGCCCTAGGACATCACCCTCTAAGAGGAGAAGCTACTGAAGGCAACTCAGAAGATCAAGTCAGAGAGGACGGAGAAGCAAGAGAGGCTGGTGTGCCAGAACTCGGTGCACAGAAACCCGAGCAGGAGCATAGGGGGCTCACCCACTTAGAGTAGCTAGAGTAGAGCCACTACAGGGAAAACAGTCATGATGGAGCAAAGCTGCATTCCTCAGGCACCAGAAAGATAAACACTATTTTAAAAAGGTTATGCAGAGCAAAATAAAGTAAGGAACCCTCAGAGTGCAACAGTCGAGGGTTAGAAACAGTGGAGGAAAGGGAGGGGAGACTATACTCTCTCTTGTGATTTGTGTTTGTGATAAGAATCTAAGCATGTTAGAGCCAGGGAGTGTTAGGGTTGAACCCTGTATACTTTCTGGTAGTATGATCTTGAGCAAATTAACCTCCCTAAGACTCAGGATCCTCAGAGCAGTGATAAGACTTAAATTAGATAAACACAGAGCCCAGATAGAGCCTGGCCCAAGGCTGGCATTCAATACATGTTGGGGATAGCTCCTTATGAACTCTCAAGGGGCCATGTGCTTCAATTGTTGCCTGATGTGGAGGGATTAAAAATGGATTTATTTCCTTGCAGTGGCTTCATGAGGGAGAAACCAGGTTTGGGGCATAAGTCCTGGCACCAAATGGAGCAGCAAATAAGCCAGTCCTCTCTTTTTCCAAGGGAAAATAAAAGTTGATAAAGAAGTCAAAGTTGGAATGAAAATTTCCCTAAGAGTGTTGTAAATAAAACACTATAAAACCAAAAGTCTGGTAGAAGTTGTCATGGATAACCTGAGAATGGAGGGAGATGTTGTGGAGACAGTTATAAACATGTTGGTAGCATGGTTTGGGGTACCTGTGTGTGTAGATAATCATAAGTATTCTGCAAACAGTAAAGGACCTCTGTTAACCATGCAAGGACCCAAGGATAGATAAAGGTAAAGGGTCCCAAACTTTCTAACAGATCATCAAGGGTACTCAGCAACTCTGGAGCCTAGATTGCTGAGGAGCACACTCAGGATGGAATAGCAGATTATCGCTGACACTCAGGGACAACAAAAGGGATCAGACACGTTGGGAGGAAATAGCAGGGTTTCAAGTGTACCAAGGAACTTGCAACAGTCTTACAAACACAGAGAAAGAACAGCAACCATCAGTTAATGAAGGGAAGAATCTTATCCTAAATTCTCCGGGACAGTCTCACTTCCAAGTATTTTGTTGTACTGTCCATATAATACAATATTCCTGAATGAGCAGTTTTTGTTGGACTATTACTGAATGCATCAAGTCAGTAGACATTAAAATATACATCTGCTACTAGCAAAAGATGATGTGCAAAAGAGAAAGATGCCCACAGTGTTGAGTTTAGGGAACAAGCTGGTTAGAACAAAACACTGGGTACAATTCAACCCGACATTTAAAGATATGTATACATGTCTGCAGATGTAGAAAAGAATGTTGAAGGAGCTATAGAGCTACAGTGTTAATGAAGTTTGTTTTTGACTAATGAAATTATAAGTGATTTTCATTTTCTCCTGTATACTTCTTGTGTTCATTGAATGGTTTTTATAGTTAGCATCACTTAATTTTATAATCCAATAAATGGAGATATTTTCATTTCGATAATACAAAAAAAAAAAGATTGAAAGTTGAACAAGATGAAGAATCACAATTATTTGTGGAAGTCAATCCACATCTCTACCTGCCCAGATGTAAGCCTGTGAGCACAGGCTTCCCAGATGTGTTAGAACATAACACTGATAGACTAGGGTAAGTGTCATGGTAATGAATATTTCACTCCCCTGGGGTTTCAAGTTTTCCCTTTCTTATCAAAATGCTCACCTTTAGAGATTTATAATAGGAATTATCATTCATTAGATCTAAAATTATTTTAAATAGCCCTAACTACCTCAGCTCAGTGGATAGAACATCGGCCTGTGAACTGAAGAGTACAGGGTTCAATTCCAGTCAAGGGAACATGCCCTGGTTGCAGGCTCAATCCCCAGTAAGGGACATACAGGAAGCAGCCAGTCGATGATTCTCTCTCATCATTGATGTTTCTATCCCTCTCTCACTCTCCCTTCCGCTCTGAAATCAATTAAAATATATTTAAAAAAGAAAAGGATTTTAAACATAACCAGGCTTTCTTTCCTCCACTTCCTTTTCTTCTCATGATC